GGGAAAGGGGAAAGGGTGGGGTGACTTTAAGGCAGTGCTCCCCACTCTCGGTGGCCCCGGTTCTTTGGCGCTGTCCGCGGTGCTGAAGCCTGGAGCCTGGAGCCGTGGAGGGCTTGCCTGGAAGCAGTTATGGGAAGGGAGGGGTGACACGGCGAGGAGTCTCCACGGGACCTGACCCCTCCACCGCTCGCTCCAGCCTTCATCTACCATCCTACCAACACGGCGCCACAGGAAGTATCCTTCATTTGCCTCCAAGCCCGTGGTGAAGGAGGACGCCAGACGGCTAGGCTGCACCCCTTCTCCCACGAGCCCCTAACCCCCACCCTCCCCCGGCCCATGAGTCAGCGCTGACTGTCTCTGTCCGAGATGTGAGTCAGCACTGGGCCAGGCTGTGGGGAAGGGGATGGGAGAAGACCCTTCCCTCTTCACCCTCTTCTGCCCCCCTCCCCCAGCTGTCGCCCTCTTGTCGGAGATCAGAACACAGCAATCGGGCTCTCTGGGCACAAAGAGAAACCCCGACTGTCCCCTTGGCCTGATTTTCTACAGGGAGCGGGGGCTCCTAAGCTCGGGCCCCGACGCCTGCCTCCCGGAGATCAGGATGCCCCCCCCCTCCTCCTACCCCCCTCGCCACCCCTCAGCACCGGTCGCCACTTGGGCGCCTCGGCACGACTTGCTTCTCCCGTGGACTTGGAGCCTGTCTATAAGTCCTCTGTCCACACGCACCCCTGGTCCTCCCCCCAAACCCGCGATCTTCCCCTGAGACCACTTCTCTAAGGTCCCGCCCCGTATTCCCAGCCCTGCCTCCAGGCCTACGCCCCTTTCCTGTCTGACGCCCTCTTGTCTTCCTCATCTCGCCAGGCCTCCCCCTACCCGACTCCACACAGATTCTACCCGAGATCCCCACCTTGGAGACACTTCCCCGCACCCCGCACTGAGTTTTGCTCCCGGCACCATACTCCTCCACCCCGGCTCCCCCCTTTCCTCCTGACCGTGAGCACTAATGGCGCTGCAGCCTCCCGGGCGGCAGCTCAGCAGCAGGAGGCAGAGGAGCACCCGGAGACCTCCGGATCCTCCAGGACCCCCAGGCCGCCGCGGGCGCCGCATCCTTCCCGGCTCCGCGCGCTTGCTGCCCAGCCTGAGCTGCAGCGACGCCGGCGGGAGCCGGCCGGAGGGTCCAAGGCGGGGCCTGCCACTCCCCACCCACCTACGAGGCGGGGTCTACACGCCCCTCTCGCTGCAACTTGGCCAACCCCGGGCGGGCAGTGACGACATCTCCGCCCCCGGCTCTTACGCTTAGCTGATTTGCGTCATACGTGGCGTAAGAGCACTGTTTTAGCAGGGGACCTACCCACCCATCCCTCCTCCACCAAATATGTGCCTCACGAGAATTCCCACTTGGCTCTCTCCCTGACGACATATGCTTTTCCCTAAAGACCACCGCCTCTATTTCCCAGCCACAGGGCTGGCAAAAAGGGTTATAGCTGGAGGGGGACCAGGAAAGATACGCGAGCGGGGGAGCATAAAGTGACCACAAAGGTATCTAAATTAAGAGCGGGAACGGTTCTCTGTGTGCGCCTCGATTCCAGTGCTTGCAATGCCACCTACTGAGGGTATAACTTTGGGCAAGTCGCTTAACCTCTATTCGCCCTTTCCTGATCTGTGAAATGGAAGTGCTGATAGCACCTCGCTCGTGTGGATCGCTTGAACAATGATTGCACGGTCACATACTAAACACTTGGTGCATACTTGCTTTCCTTTTTAGCCTTGACTCTCCTTTCTTTCGCCCTCTTCCACCCGGAGTCTATTAAAAAAATGGCCCATCTGCAAAATACTGTATCTCCCATTGTTCCACATCTCTCCACATTCACTATCCTGTCTAAACCACTGTGCTCTTTCCTCGCGACTGCTGCAGCAATCATCTAACGACTGTTCGGCTTCCACTTTTGTCACCCAATGAGCTAGGGAGTGAGCTTTCTAAAGTTCAAATTTGATCACTTTACTCTCTTGCTTTTCAGTAAAAACTTTCTAAAATACAAAAAAATGATAGTAGTGCATAGTAAACACTCATGCACTCACCATCTAGACTTAACAGTTATTGGTATTTTGTCGTATTTGCTTCTTTTTAGTACTTAAAAGTAAATAATACACATTTTCCTTATAAATGTTTCAATATGCAACTCCAAGAAATATATGTTCTCATAATCAAAATGCTATTATGACATCCAATAAAAATTTCAATAATGTCCACTATTATTTGATGCTCAGTTCATATTCAAAGTTCTCAAATTGTGTTTTAAAATGCCCCTTTCAGCTGTTTTGTTCAAAATAGGAGTCATAGACCCCCATTATGTTTGGTTTATTTTCTTAATTCTGTTCAATTAGCATAGACAGAGTTCCTCCCCTTCCCCATCTCCAATTTTTAATATTTTTGTGTTGAAGAGATGAGGTCAGCTTTTCTTCTGACTTTGTCTGTTTATTTCCTCATGATATACTAGTATTTCCCCTGTATATATATTTCCATTTTATTTCCTATAAACTGGAAGTTATGCCTAAAGTATTGATGGGATCAAATCTAAAAAAAAATTTTTATTTTAAAAATATATTTTATTGATTTCTTACAGAGAGGAAGGGAGAGGGATAGAGAGTTAGAAACATTGATGAGAGAGAAGCATTGATCAGCTGCCTCCTGCACACCACCTACTGGGGATGTGCCTGCAACCAAGGTACATGCCCTTGGCCGGAATCAAACCTGGGATCCTTCAGTCCACAGGCCGACGCTCTATCCATTGAGCCAAACCAGCTAGGGCAAGTCTAAAAAAATTTTTAAAGCAAAATGCTTTATAGGTGATGATGTATGCTTCCAATTGAATAATTTGCAGAGGAGAGTTGACATAGCTTTATTTCATTTTTACTTTAAAAAATGTGACTACTAGAAATTTTAAACTTACATATGTAATGATATATTATATTTCTACTGGACAACCACTGACTTTAAAAATTCTTTCTTTTCCATTCTCATCAGAACAGACAGCTGGAAGAAGTTTGTATTCACATAGCAGCAGAGACAGTGTATTCACACTGTCTTCAGCTGTAAGGAAGAGTTTATAGATAATCTTTTTAAAAAAATCCTCACCCAAGGGTATTTTTTCCATTGATTTCTAGAGGGGGTGAAAGGGAGGGAGGAGATGGAGAAAGAAATGGAAGGGAGGGAGGAGGGAAAGAGAGATAAAAACATCAACATGAGAGAGACACATTGATTGGTTGCCTCTCCCAGGCATCCCTACCAGGGCTGGGGAACCTGCAACTCAGATAGGTGCCCTTGACCAGGAATCCAATCTGTGACCCTTTGGTCCCTAAGCTGACGCTCTAACCATTGAGAAAAACCAGCCAGGGCAATAGTCTTAATTTAATGTATTAAATGTACCACATTTTACTTTATTTTTAGCACTTTTGCTTCCTTTTTAAGAAATCTTTTCCAACCATTAGGACATGACGTTATTATCTCATACTACCTTCTAATTGCATCATCACAAAGTTTTGCAAAGTAGGAGTTCAGGAAAGTGAAATAAAACCATCAAATGGCTTAAAGCTTTGGAATAAACTTCATTGTTTAATTCTTTACATTGGCCAATAATCTCCCTGGATTCTATTTGTGTGTATGTTTTAAGTTATGAATAAAAGTAAATTTTTCTTCCACAAGGGTACCCAATGGTTCCTGAACTACTTATTGAAAAGACTACCCTCTCTTCTCTGCCATCTTTATTATAAATAAAATGTCCACATTGCATGTCTATCTCTGGGCCCTTTGTCTCATAGATCTACCTGTCTATCCTTTCATCAATACCAAACTTTTAAAATTACTGTAGCTTTATACTGAGTCTTGATATCAGAGCAAATGATCCCATCTCCTTTTCAAAATTATTTTTTATCATATTTACTTTTTTTTAAAAATATATTTTATTGATTTTTTACAGAGAGGAAGGGAGAGGGATAGAGTCAGAAACATCGATGAGAGAGAAACATCGACCAGCTGCCTCCTGCACACCTCCCACTGGGGATGTGCCCGCAACCCATGTACATGCCCCTGACCGGAATCGAACCTGGGACCCTTCAGTCCGCAGGCCGACGCTCTATCCACTGAGCCAAACCGGTTTCGGCCATATTTACTTTTTACATTGTTGAGAGGTTCATAGGTTATTACTTAACGATAACTTATATTCGGTATACAAACTTATGTTTTTAGCTGTACAGTGATTATTTGTATATGTAAACAACTCCATTACCCCTTAGAGACACCAAATCTTGATACCTACCCATTTGCTTATACCTGTGAATATCCAATGAGTAAGAGTACTTTGATGTATAAAGCTCTGCATATAGGATATTCCAGTGTTCTGTTGGGCTGAGCATGGATGGTCAGATTCACCCACTCTCTTTTAATATTTTTCAGTTCCTAGGAGCAAACTGGCAAGAGCCAGTCAAAATAGTTAATATGTGTACACGTTGTAGCACTTCTCTGTTGATTCTTGGGAACAGGATGAGTGAGAGAACCCTGGCAGGGGCTGTAATGTTGGAGGCGAAGACCCTCATAAAACCGCAGGGTGCAGGCCAGTCTGACATGGAAGGGTGGGCAACTAGACCACACAATGTAGCTAGGTGCGGGCTGGGAAGGGTAGTCTCACCCAGCTGCAGTCTCACCCTCACTTTCCCCACTTTAGGAATGGTCAACAAGAGGAAAACAAGACAGACCAACCTCCATCAGCACTAAGGAGCTGTGCTCTCCTCACCCCCACCTCCTTTCCTGGTCTCACCTTTTTCATTTCAGAGGCCCTGGCCAGGTCCAAACCCCACCCATCCTGCCTCAGGACAAATAACAGAAAGAGTTTGCATGAAAGTCCACTTTAATGACCCAGATTTGGCTCATCCTAGAACCGCCCTCTTTGCCCTCCTTTGGAGGACAATGGGGAGGGCAATGGCGTAGAGCAGTTTCACACAAGGTCTTAATCAGCGACAAGGTTGCAGCCTACGATGGGGGGCGGGGAGCTCAAAGAAGCCCTAAAACGAGAAGAAACAAAGGACTGGAATAAGTATGTGGTGAGGTCACCCCTCCCCCATCCACTCTCCTTCCCCAAAAGCTTCAACACCTGATTTGAGTAAGCCCAGTGACTCAGCCCACCACCTGCCTGTCTCCTTGGCTCCCACACATAATTCACCTGGCTCCTGTGATTTTCCCTTGGGCTCAGGGTTGGAGAAGAATGACAGCACCTTGTTTGCATTCGCAGAAGCACCATGGTAACCAGTCCCTCACAAGTGGATCTGTCACTTGGCTCTGAGTGCATTGACCCAGCAACCAATCCAGGCTTAGGAAGCCCAATTGCCACCTCACAGGAGTGGGAACCAAGGGAACCAGTTTCCTAGGAGAGCAGGAGGGGCTGGCAGCCCCCTGAGATGCAGGCTGCATCTGGATGGAGTGGCCAGCTGGGGGTGCTAGTTCCACTGCCACTACCTGAGTCCAGGCCTCCTCAGTCTCTCCTGGACCAGGGTGATGGGCTCCTTACAGGCCTGTTTTACTCTTGCTCTTCACAATCCATTCCCCAGCAGCACTAGACTGGCCTTTTAAAATCATATATCACATTATGAAATCCCCTTCCTTAAAAGTTCCCTGTTAAGTTGCCACTACACTTAGAATAAAATTCAAGTTTTTTACCATGATCTATGAGGCCCAGTATGGTCAGTCCTGGGCCTACTTCTCCCACATAATCTTCTCCCCCTGACTTTTCCATCTGTTCCTCTAACATGCCATGGTATCCCTGTCTCAGAACACTTGTCATTGCAGTGCTCTCTGCCTGGGAGGACTTCCTTTATATTTTCCTCTGGTTGCCACTTTATTATAATTCAGGTCACAGTCCCTTAAAAAAGACTTTTGTCAATGTGGGGGAGTCTGATGTTTGGAACAGCCCAATACCCACTGTGGTCCCAGAGAGGAAAGGCAGGGGCTGGTGGGGAAAGGGCTGGGTCCAGACTTGGCTCTGCCATGAACCTGCTATGCATCTTTGAGTAAGTCCCTTGTTCAGCCTGGGCCCCAATGTCCCATCTAGAAAGGTAGATGGTAGTGCTAGACGGATGTGTCCAATCTGGATTCTGAAGAATTCAAGCATCTCAAGGAATTAACTCTGAACTTTACCAAGCGACTAGCCCAGGCCAAAGAGTGGTGTGTGTGTGTGTGTGTTTTCCTGGCTGAGAACGTAAGGATTCCTGGCCCTGGAAAAACTCAGCTAGGGCCAGGGGTTGGGACTAGTCCAAAGCAATTAGATGATAACTTCTTTCAGGGGCTACTTCTATACTTCTAGAAGACTCTGCTGGGCCCTTCCCAAGAGTGTTCAAGGGCAAACAGCCTACCCATCCAACTCCACCCCCACTCACATATCACCTCTTCTCCATCAGGTGAGCATGACAGGAAGTTTCAAGTAGAGACATTTGAAGAAGGAAGCCCATTCTCAGATCAAACAGCCCCTCACTATCCCCACTCCCCTCACATCTGGCCAGGCCCCAGCCTCTCTTCTCCAGCTCTTTACTCACCTTGAGGCACAATCTGCTGGAGTACAACATGCAAGTTCTGGAAGATCGGGTGGTAAGTCCTAGGAAGGGCCAGAGCTGCCCCACTCCCACTTGGTCCTGACCATCTAAAGGCTAAGTGGTGGCGTCAGCAAAGAGCTGGGCCAGAGCCTTTCCAAATTCCACTTGAAGAAAAGCAGCTTCCTTCCACTATGACCCCCGTGTTTCTTGGTCTCTGTCCCCTTCGCCAGATCCCCTCCTCCTTTCAAGTGCTCCTTCTTTTCATTTTCCCTTCCCGCATCACCACCTGCCCTGTGTTTCAATCCCTGCACCTCGTTCACCTTTGGTACCAACTTCCAGGTAAGAATCAAGCTTACAGGCAAAGAGTAGCTTGTGGAGGCTGAGGTAAGCAGAGACTCATACAGCTACACTCATGGAATACAAAACCAGGTGAACAGGTGGGGCCCGGGAAGCAGGTGAACTGCATCTCGGGAAAGGATCTGAAGCCTGAAGGGTATTCAAGAGGAGGCCTGGAAACTTTATAGGAGGAAGTATAGGGTTTGCGTGTCTGGACCCTTGTCCTGAAGGCCACAGTTAGCCCAACTGAGCCTAGGCAAAGGACAGAAGGTGGGGATGATAGTCCCTAATGCTGTGCAGTTAGATGTGGTAGGGGTGGGGGAGTCCTTTTTTTGCTGTAGTGGAATTATCATGACTCATTATGTACAAGCCTTAAGAACAGGGCATTCTCCCCAGTCAAATGGATCTTAATATCAAATTCCTGGCTTTAGGAAGGAGCAGAAACTCCAGGATCCTATTGAGAAAGAAAAGAATTTCTGGAAGAGAAGACCATTCTCTGAGGCAGCGCTTTTGGGATTAAAACCTTCTGGCCCTTTAAATACAGTTCCTCATGTTGTGACCCAACCATAAAATTATTTTCGTTGCTACTTCATCACTGTAATGTTGCTACTGTTATAAATCGTCATGTACATATCTGATATGCAGGATGGTCTTAGGTGACCCCTGTGAAAGGGTCGTTCGACCGCCAAAGGGGTCGCGACCCACAGGTTGAGAACCGCTGGATTAATAGGAAAAGAGGGGGCTTGGGCACCCTGGGTCAGCCCCACAGGACGCCAGGTGCTGTCCGTGGTGCTGAGAGGTGCCGGAACCTGGAGGCGGCTCGGGGCGGTGAAGTACGAGGTATTCCCACCAGGCTTGACGGTCCTCCACCGCCCCGCTTCCCGCCACCCTCTTCTCCCCGCAACTCCGCTCCTCCCCTCCTGTCCCCCGCCACTGGGCCTCCTCCCACAATTCTTCGTCAGTCCTCTCCATTGGCCTCTAAACCCAAGCATCCGGAGGGGAGAGTTGGCGTCAGACCAGGAATTCGCGCCGCCTTCCCCGCGCCCCAGGCGGGAATCCTCGAGGCTGCGCAGTTGGTCTCTGGCCGCTCGGAGCTGAGTCTGCGCTGGTCCCGGCTGGCGCGGAGCCGAGCGGAGGGAAAGGCTGCACCCTTTCGCTTGCCTCGCTTTACCCTGGCGTAGCCCTCCCCTTCTTAACAGAGCCGGATAGCGGACAGCAGGCTCCGAGGGCTTATGAACAAGCCCTGGCTCATCTCTCGGCCCAGATTCTCCCCGGAGCCAGGACCCCGGTACCCGCAATCCCTGCTCCTGTCCCGAGATCCTGGTCCCCTGCCTTCCCCTCAGCCCCGGGCAGCTCTTCTCCGGCCTTGCGGCGCATCTTTCTTCTCCTGCGGTCGCCCAGATTCCTTGGCCCATTTTCCCGCCCTCCTCACGAATTTCCAGTTTATCTCTTTCACGTCCCTAAACATATTCTTTGCCTCCTAAGTCCTAACCTCGAGGCCCCCTGCCCCACTTCTTTCAGGATCGCTCTCTGGCCCTGCCCGCACTTCCCAGGTTTCCTCCTGACCGTGGCCACTAATGTCTCTGCAGCCCCCTGGGCGGCTGTGCAGCAGCAGGAAGCAGAGGAGCAGACGGAGCCCCCGGCGACCCCAGGCCACTGCGGGCGCCGCGTCCTCCCAGGCTCGGCGCGCTCCCCACCTAAGCCTCGGAGAAGGAGGAGACCGCCGCCGCCGGAGCGGCTAAGCTGGGCTGCTGCTTTCCACTCGCGTGCGTGGCTGATCTGCACAGCCCTCTCTTGGCAGCTCGGCCAATCGCAGGCCGGCCTTGCCCCTGGGAACACCTACCCAACTCCTTCTTCCGTTTAAGGGTCCCACCTCCAGGCTCCTGCTCCTTTTTTATATAAATCAGGTCCCGGACTACCGCCTCTATTCGTGACCCACAGTAGAAGAAATGGATTGCATGTAAGATGCGGCTGTGAATTGTACTAACCTCATACATTTGTCGTGAGGATTAAATATGAACAAGGACTGGACAGTAGATGCTCTGTATTTAGTTTATTTTTATTATCCCTGATGCTCACTTTACCCTCATCTTCCTAAAGATCTTCAGCACACATGGATTTGAAATGCAAAATACTAGTATATTGCACATCTATCCACTTCTCTCCACATCACTTCCACCACCCTGGTTCAAATCACTGTACTCTTTTTGGTAGAGCTATTGCAACAACTAACTAGCTAATGAACTAACTGTACTCTTGCTTCCACTCTTGTTTGGTTATAGGTTGGTGTGTGAGCTTTCTCAACCCTAGACTGGCATTTCGATATTTTGTTTATTAAGCTTAATTTTTATTATGAAAAATGTCAATGTTAAAAAAGAGAAGAATCTAATGAATGCCCACATACCTACCACCCAGACTAACAATTATTTTTTTTTCTTCAGACTAACAATTATTAAGATTTGGTCACAATTGCTTCTTTCTCTTGGTAAAGTACACTTAAAAGTAATTTATAGACATCATGGCATTTCACTCCTAAATAATTCAATATGCATCTCTTAGAATTAATGCTACAACTGGGAATTTTTAAAGGTTTTTGGTATTTATTTATATTTTAATTTCAATGTGGTCTGAGAACATGCTTTGTATGACTTCAATTGTCTTGACTTTGTTTCATAGCTCAACATATACTCTATCTTGGTGAATGTTCATGTACATGTGAAAAGAATATTCTTTTTTTTCAGATACAATTTTAAATTTAATTTTACTTGATTTTCACAAGAGAAAGAGAAGTTGATGGAATTGCTGAGTTCATATAAATATTTCCTCTAGACAAGAGATACTTCCCCTAAAATATTGCTTCAAGATGGAAAAAAAAGAAAAAAAAGAAACTGTGAGAACATTAAAGGTTGAAATCATTATGATTTTTTCCAAGGACATGTTTTCATTTTTGTTTGTAAAGATCAGCGGTCGGCAAACTCATTAGTCCACAGAGCCAAATGTCAACAGTACAACGATTGAAATTTCTTTTGAGAGCCAAATTTTTTAAACTTAAACTATATAGGTAGGTACATTGTTATTAACTTAATTGGGGTACTCCTAAGTTGGCCTTTGCTAAAAACGTCCTCAATCTGATTGAGGTATGTTCGCTGAGGTCGACCCCTTCCAACTCTCCCATCCACACTCGTCTTGTATACTTGTTTCGTCTATCTCCTTTCGTTCATCCTCTCTATATGTCCCAACCATCTCAACATGCCTTTCTCAATCCTCAACACTACATCTTCTTTCACTCCACAACGTTCCCTAAAATTAACTTAAACTTTACTTAAAGTTTTAAGTCAACTTTGCACTGTACGTGAGCGCCCGCATGTGGTATTTTGTGGAAGAGCCACACTCAAGGGGCCAAAGAGCCGCATGTGGTTCGAGAGCCGCGGTTTGCCGACCACTGGTATAGACTGACCTCTTGTGAAAGATGAGTTCGTTGGCCCAGCCACACGGGCATGAACAACACGTAGTTCTGACAATATTGAAGCCCTTCTGTACCAGTTAGTAAATATCAGCCACTGACTCTCCCCAGGGCTCTCCCTCTCTCCTGGCTGCCCCATCCCACCACCAGAACCAACTCGAACTCTCATCTCCCCGGGACCCAGAGCTACAGGGGAAAGGGGACTCTGGTCCTGTCTCCCAGGTGGGCACCTTCAACACACACCACTTCGGCCCCAATCAGCTTAGTTTCCATCTGTTTTATATAATGGCCATCAGGTAAGGCTTTGTTTGCAGAAAGAATTCAGTGTGAAAACCATTAGAAAACCCCTGCTCAAGGTCAGCCCTCAGGCCCCTGCAAGTTTGCCCAGTCCGGGATTTCTGAGACTGGAGGCTTTCTCCCAAACACATTAGCTCCTTATGAAGTCAAGTGCACGTCTGCATCCTGGTATAATTACCTTGCACCCAAATGGGCAACAGACACAGGCCTGCGGGTATGGCGAAGACCCCTGAGCCGGCTCCAATCGGATGAAGAAGAAGGTGCTGGAGCCCAGGCTCAAGTAGAGGTGCCAGGAAGGGAGTAGGCTTTGCTCCGTGCCCAGCCCTGTGCCAGGTGCTCACAGTCCAGATCCGCTCCAATCCTATGAGAGGTGTTTCTTTGCTCCTATCCTCCCTCCCTTATTCCCTTCCTTATGGAATTACTGAGCACCTGTCTGTGCCAGGGGCTGGGGTACAAAGGCAAAGCTAGCATCTCCAAGACCTCACCGCCCAGTGAGAGCATCATCCAGAAAACAGCTGTGACTGGGGTGGGTGCAGGATGCAGGGCGAGCCCAAAGTGACTCAGGGAAGGTTCTCCAGTGGAGTTAAAGCTGAGCAGGGGGAGAACCAAGATGGCGGCATAGGTTAACGCTGGAGTTTGCTGCTTTGAACAACTACTTCAAAAGTGAAACCAAAAAACGGAAGGGACATCACCCAGAACCACAGGAACGCTGGCTGAATGGAAGTCCTACAACTAGGAGGAAAGAGAAACGCATACGGACACTCAGAGGAGGCGCAGTGCTGAAGTCAAATTCTGAGGTGCGGAGTGCGAGAGCGGGCTGGCGGCGGAGGGCGCGGTTGGCGTTTTCAATCGGGAGGGAGTCACAGAATCTGAGCTCCAGATCCGGGCGAGTCTTTAGGGACCCAGACTCAAACGGGAGAAGCCGGACTGTCTGGCTTCGGTCAGAGCGAGTGTAGCTTTCCCTCTGAGCTTTGCAGTGGGTGCTGGGACTCAGAGAGGCAGAGCCCCTGGGGACAGGACTGAGAGCCGCCATAACTGCTCTCTCCGGCCCACCCTGTTGATCCTGTGCGACCCGCCCCGCCCAAGCCCTGCACACAGGCATTTGCCGGATAGCCTCAGGCAAAGGCTAGATTAGCACCTCCCTAGAGGACAGAAGTTCTCTCACTGCTGACACAGCTGATTCTCATAGCCACTTGGCCTGGAGGTCAAACCCTCCCTGGAATTAGCTACAACGATCAAGATTTAACTATAAGACTGCGAACAAAGACCACTAGGGGGTGCACCAAGGAAGCATAACAAAATGCGGAGACAAAGAAACAGGACAAAATTGTCAATGGAAGATATAGAGTTCAGAACCACACTTTTAAGGTCTCTCAAGAACTGTTTAGAAGCCGCCGATAAACTTAATGAGATCTACAAGAAAACTAATGAGACCCTCGATCTTATATTGGGGAACCAACTAGAAATTAAGCATACACGGACTGAAATAACGAATATTATACAGACTCCTGACAGCAGACCAGAGGAGCGCAAGAATCAAGTCAATGATTTGAAATGCGAGGAAGCAAAAAACACCCAACCGGAAAAGCAAAATGAAAAAAAGAATCCAAAAATGCGAGGATAGTGTAAGGAGCCTCTGGGACAGCTTCAAGCGTACCAACATCAGAATTATAGGGGTGCCAGAAGATGAGAGAGAGCAAGATATTGAAAACCTATTTGAAGAAATAATGACAGAAAACTTCCCCCACCTGGTGAAAGAAATGGACTTACAGGTCCAAGAAGCGCGGAGAACCCCAAACAAAAGGAATCCAAAGAGGACCACACCAAGACACATCATAATTAAAATGCCAAGAGCAAAAGATAAAGAGAGACTCTTAAAAACAGCAAGAGAAAGAAACTCAGTTACCTACAAGGGAATACCCATACGACTGTCAGCTGATTTCTCAACAGAAACTTTGCAGGCCAGAAGGGAGTGGCAAGAAATATTCAAAGTGATGAATACCAAGAACCTACAACCAAGATTACTTTATCCAGCAAAGCTATCATTCAGAATTGAAGGTCAGATAAAGAGCTTCACAGATAAGGAAAAGCTAAAGGAGTTCATCACCACCAAACCAGGATTATATGAAATGCTGAAAGGTATCCTTTAAGAAGAGGAAGAGGAAGAAAAAGGTAAAGACACAAATTATGAACAACAAATATGCATCTATCAACAAGTGAATCTAAGAATCAAGTGAATAAATAATCTGATGAACAGAATGAACTGGTGATTATAATAGAATCAGGGACATAGAAAGGGAATGGACTGACTATTCCTGGGGGGGAAAGGGGTGTGGGAGATGCGGGAAGAGACTGGACAAAAATCGTGCACCTATGGATGAGGACAGTGGGTGGGGAGTGAGGGCGGAGGGTGGGGCGGGAACTGGGAGGAGGGGAGTTAAAGGGGGAAAATAAAGAGGAACATATGTAATAATCTGAACAATAAAGATTTAATTAAAAAAAAAAAAAAAAGCTGAGCAGGGATTTGAAGGATGAGGAAGGGCATTCGAGGTGGAGGGAACTGCATGTGCGAAGGCAGGGAGGCAGGAAACAGCCCGCGTGGTCTGGGAACTGTGGGAGGGTGATGGCGCCCAGGCCCAGGAAATCTGCTAGGTGAGGTTGGGGTCCCAGAACCCACTACCTGGGGTCCCAGAACCCACTACCCGGAACCCACTTCCTTGACTTCCTTTGTTCTTGGCTGCCTGGCCAGGAAGAGGCCCCGCCTACCTACACAAAAGGAGACTTTGAAGCTGGAGAGAGGAAGTGAGTATGGAGGGGCCACCTGGTGTGTATTTTTGGATTGCTTCTCAGAAATCTCTTCCTCCTCCGACACCATGGCAACCAGGCAGCAGCTGGGGGTGCCACCTGTGAGCTGGGCTGAGTTGAGGGGGAGGTGGGCTGGGGGTAGGGACCTCTGTTCCCCCTCTCTGAGCCTCAGTTTTGGCATCTAGAATATGGGCACAACAACCCAGTTTTTGGCTCCTGTCAACCCAGGTGCTCCAGGAAGCAGAGGCCCAGGCTGGAGTCATTAGGGGGAAGGCCTGGGAGGTAAGGGCAGGGCTGGGGAGTACTCTGCAGCACCCTGCAGCTGGGGGCTCGGCAAGGTGGGGAGGAGTTTCTGAGCCACGTAGCCTGCACTTCCCACCAAGCAGCCTGCCCTGGTGTGCCCTCTGCACTGCCACTGCTGAGGAGCCCCCG